TTTAATGTCCAAAACTGTTGATTGCAGCTAGTTGCTTTGAGCATTGACAAGGGCCACCTTTTGCCTATGAAGTTGTCTCAAAATCTTGCATTGATTAAAAAAGTAAAAAAAAAAAAGAAAAAAAAAGGAAAAAAGAAAAAAAAATCTTTAATCCAAGTAGCATTAGGTATTGCTGTATGATCAGTCGTATGGTTATTTGAAAGGTTCACATTATGTGGCATCAAAATCGTTTTTAGTGTTTTTACAGCATCCCTCTGCCACTAAATAGTTGACTTGAATTTTGAAAACAAATGTTTGTGTTTATATGTATATGTGTGTGTATATATGTATTTATAGATCTGTGTGTGTGAGTTAAAAGTGAGTTAAATAGTCTTTCCAATGCATGTGTATTTCATACATATCTGGCTGATATATATATTTCACCATACACCAATTTTATAATTTATTAAATGTCAGTTAAAAAATAAATAAAAGGATAGAAAATGGGAAATACTTATTTTTTAAACTCAGTCTGATTTTGAAGTGATTAAACCTACACTAGGAATATATCTCATACATTTTAGTCATGAATACTAACCTGGTAACTTCAGAGCATATGCTTTGCTATAATACCGTTTGTAAATCTGGAGTACGACTGCCATCAGTGTAACTGGGAGCGTGCGTGTCCCCAGCTTCTGAAACACCTAAGAGAAATTCGGGAGAGCTCGTGGCTGTTTTACCGACGATTGTGGCAGCATTTCCATTGACTGTATTGTTAAAGATGACCTGAAGAGCAGCTTATGTCACTTTTGACAATGGTATTAAAATCTTGTTAATTCACATATAAAATTAAATGTGGTGAGTGTGTGGCAACACAGAATCTGGCATCTTTATGCCTGTCTTAGCTTTTGGAAAGTGAGGTGAGCTGATCACGTCTTCCATTTCCTCACAAGTTACCCTGAAGGGAAGGAAGGCCGTTCAGTTCACCGTTGTCATTTTTTAACCTCATTGCTCTACAAAGAAGGGACGGAAGTGTTCTTAAGTCCTCCTTTGTGGTATTAATCCCATATGCTTTGTGAGTATTTCTGTTTCATGCTAGGGTGTTCTTTATAGTTGATAATTCTCTGTGCCTCTGACCACAGTTAACATTGCTTGGTAGAAGTCTCAGTCTGAGTTCTCGACAAGTTCCCTGCAAATGTCACTCCAAAACTCAATCTCCATTAGTTCACATATTATCAAAGATGCAGTAAAGCAACCCAGGGTGGCCTGGCTTGCGGTACTGCTCCATTCGCTGCAGATTGCGGAGTTTCTGTGATCCTTCGACTAGTGGTCTCTTGTCCTCAAATTCTTCCACTGGAGGAGTGGGGTGTGCGCACATGTGCACGTGTGTCTGTGTTACGTATAGTGCTGTGTGTGTTTATGTGCATACACACACGGATATGAGTACGTGGCTGTTTGAATAGCAGGGTGGAAGTGGCTTTGAATCGCTCTTGAGGGCGTTACTGATGCATCCTTTAGAAGATGAAAAACTGCGCTGAACTATAACCTATGCCATGCGTTGAAAACTTTGTAGCACTTCCATAAGGATAGACCTGACAGCAATTCCAGGCTTGCCCCTTCCTCTCCATGGCAAGGATTCGATAAGCCTTTCAAGGGCGGGATGACTGATAGATTCTCATTGGACTCTCTTGGACCTGCCTCCCAATGCAGAGCTAAGGACTGTGAGGAGAACATTTTGAAAATTAATTCTTCATTGCAGTTTAACATTTCAGGGTTTTAAGCACATTTTTAGTAGAAAGGACTTTGTTTTGTCAGTGTAACTGGTTTTTTCTTTCTTTTTTTCTTTTACTTTTTAACAGAGCTTAGATTTCTAACAAGGGAAAATTGCTGGTGGTCCCCGAAAGTGCTGCTGTTAATTGTTTTAATTAACAAAGGGAAAAATGTATATAAGCAGAATATTAAAAATACCATTAATTCCATGAATTTAAATCTGTCATTCATTGCCTTAAAACTTTCTCTTAGTTTCCATACGGCATGCCAAACCAGTAAATGGCTTTTAAAAATGTATAGTAGACCGATGTCAGTTTGTATAAAAGTACCAAGTGAAAATATTTATTATATGCATTGGAAAAAAAAAATGGTTTACCTATTGAATGTTACCTGTTTATGTAGAAATCTTTAGATGTAATAAAAAGCATTCAGTTATGTTGTGTTTCCTGAGGGGGAAAAAAAAATGGGGGGGCAGGGTGTTTTCTGTGAACTCAGAGTTGCAAAGGTCCTTTTGAACAGGAAAGCTTTGCTTCTGAATGTTTCGTGGCATGGAGTGTCTCACACTTTGCTCTCCAAGCTCTAACAATGCTGCTTTGTTTTGTGAGTGTGTGTGTGAAGTGCAGTTCCTTTTTGCTAGCTTTTATTTGGGTAATGTTTACCCACCCAGAGAGGGTAGTAACCGCCTGTTATGATACAGATACATTCTGGAGTAATCCAAAGTGTTTTTGAGCTGATCAATCCCCATGACGTACAAGCTTTTGTATTGTCTGCAGCTGAAAGGATTTGTTAATCAACTGTTCTGGTCAATAGGGAAGAATTAAGCTGTGTATTGGATCATTTGTAATTTGGCTATTGATGCATATTGGAAACAAACGCTTCTAAATGAACTCCTTGTTCCATAAGCTAATTATGCTCAAAGCAACCGAGGCTTTTGCTTGCCTTCATCGCTGGTACTGCTGTAGCAAAGGTCTGGAACAGCTCCGGTGGGCAGAAACCGAACTCCACGCCGTGGGCAGACCTCCAAAAGGCACTAATGCTCAAAGGCTCAGCGTCAAGGTAGGTGGGTTTTTTGTCCAAATGTTGAAATTAACTGTGAACAGTGGGAAGAGAGTTACAAGGGAAATCCTGTCTTTTGCTGTTATTTGGAACCTGTTCTTGTTTTTTTTCTAGTGAATCCTATCTCTCTTTCACTGTATCATGTTTTTCTGGAGTGTTATCTGAGCGTAGAGCTGCTTGTAACTCTCTAATTTTCAGAGAAACAAGGGTTTCTTTGTTTTGTTTTCTATCTGTAGAGTAGGAAGAGCTAATACAAGAATTGAGGTATACAATACAGGTATAACAAGGTATGTCAGTTTTACATTGAGTGGTTTATTTCCCCTTGAAGCATGATCCTTTGCTGTTCAGAGGGCCTTTGGTTAGTATCTTGGCATGTCAGGATCCAAGTCTGAGCTTACTGGGTTAGTCTGGGACTGCCGTCTTGTGAGAACCGCAGACGCTGCAGCTTGGCTCTGAATCAGGGGAGGCTGGGCACAAAACTGCCATTTGTCTGAAAGATACATCCTGGATCCGCTTCCATTTCTTGTGTAGCATTCAGCACATCGTTTAATCTTTTGTGCTTTTTTACATCATATTCCATGAGAATAATCCCTACCTTATCCTTCTAGAGACACTGTTACTGGTTTGGAAGGTTTAAGATCGGCTCATGCTTTGTTTCTTCAGTTTCTAACCAAGTTTGTGCTAGTTACAGTCCCGGTTGATTCCAAGTGTTGCAGTGATGTGTGATGGTTTTGGTGGTAGCCTTAGTCTGCGGTGTTGAGGCTGCGCTCAGTGCCTCAGTAGGGGATGAATGCATCGTATCTGCAATGGCTGTAATGATTTAACTGCTCGTCGTTTCACAAATTGAGCAAAGAGCGAGTTAGTTGCTTCAGTGATAAAGATTCAGAATTAAAAAAAGGAAGGAGAGGCACGGGTGGAAGGAGGGGAAGCTGAAGGGGGAGGGGAAGGGGGCTCCCGTGGGTAGAAGCTGCAGCAGACCCGGCAGGAGTGTGTGCTCTTCCAGCGTGCTTCACAGGTTGCTGCTTGTGCTGTGACTGTGCAAAGGTGGTCTCTGCAAATTTCCAGTTGACTCCAGAGAGAATCTGCTGTATATTGTCCTAAATTTCATACCAGTCTGAGGACCTTAGCTAAGGCTGCCAAGATGTAGGTGCGATAAGATCAATAACGACTGCTCTGGGTCACATTGGTTTTAAGCAGCCTAGAGAGATGGGTGTTTTTTTCCTGTTGTAGAGAAGCTGAGTTTTCATGGCCCCTGTTTTTCCCTGCCAGGCTGTCTCTAGGAGTATGTTCTGGGCAGCTAGCCCAGAACTTGGTGACAGATACATTTACCAAGCGCAGCATATTCAGTGTGTTGCCTCAGAATGCAGGTGCAGCTTAACTGCATGGAGACTTGACGTTGCAAGATACTGCACCTTAATAAATAATGTGACAGAAGTACAACAATACAGAGATCTTGTATGTTGGAGGAGCGAAAGATGAGGAGGAATGAGACAGCGATCATAGACCGTTCCTGTGCTTGGAGACTGGGAGTCGTCCTCTGCAGCCAGTGAGCATCACTAACTGGGGGAGTTGGGACAATTGCCGGCTGCCTGTCTCCTGTCGCTCTGGATAGTCCACAGGGACGCGGCCACCCCGCAAGTGGGGCTGTTAACTTGACAACTTCGTGACAGGGGAACATCTGGTTGGGAGTTACCGGATCATCCCATGGATCCAAGGAATACCGGGGAGCTGTGCATAGTTACACTAAATTTACCACCATCATGACATAATCAGGCTTCCCGGGGAATCTGCTTCTGCACAAAGAACTGTGTCTGGGCACGGGTGTGTGGAAACAGCGAATGGTTATGGGTGTTGCTGACTTCTTGGAACACAGTCACTGTGAGACCTTAACTACAAGTTATCATTTATGCCGCAATCTGTAGACTTAAATGCATTTTTAAAATAAGAGGTTTTTTTTTAAGCATGACACGTTACACAAGGGAATGTTATATTCAGTTTATTTAAATAACAGCTCATTTTGTGACAACATTTCTCCAGAAACGGGGTGGGAACCTGGGTAAGTGTAAGCACTATTATGAAGGCAAAATAAGGATTTTTTTAAGGCAAATGATGATTCCTGAGTCCAAGTAGTAACTAGGAAAAATTGAAGTAAAAAAAGTTTCAGGTCCTGCTCTTATCAAATCTTGTTCTGAACTTTAGTAGTCGACTGTAGGAAGACAAATGATGCGGACAAATTCTTCGTATTTTATTGTTCCATTTGGTCCAATTTTGGCTTTTTTTAGCAGGTCATCAACTGAAAGAAAGAGTGAAAGAAAATGTAAGTTTGAGTGGCATATATTAGGGATGTTGTGATCTTCAAGAAGAGCAATGCAGGATTTGGGTTTTCAAATAATTTTTGTTAGAAGTAATAACTTCTGGGATCAGTTGGAGGTGCCATTCAGATTGTAGTTTTAAACTAGCATCAGTTAGCACTTTGATTTTTGATTTCAGTCTCTAACTTTCTGGAGCAGAGATGTCCATCTCTTTGAGTTCCACATGGAAAAAATCCACAAACTCAATCCAAACCAGCTTTTAATTGCTCTTGGTAGGAGTGGCTTATTTGGCTTGAATAGCAAACCTGTCCCTATTCAATTTAGACAAAACTAAGCGCTCATGCAGATTATGTGCCCAACTTTAAGTAGATTTGTGTGACGCTTGTTAATATCGGTGGGCCTTTAGTGTTTGAAAGTGAAGAATACCTTCTCAGCTGGGGCTCTAAGGCTCTCGCTGAAAATACTTCTAAAGAAGCGGTAACCGTGCAGTTGGCACCTGCTTTTCATTCTAGCTTTGGCAATGCCTTGGCAGTGGCAGCAGTTATCTAACTTAAAATGTTCTCTTCTGTACAGGCTAAACCATTAAAAGGTATTTTTTCCTGTCAAATAATGGCAATAAAATAGAAGTACGTAAGAAATGACACATAGAAAAGTAATGTTAAATGTTGCTGAATGAAGCTGCTACTGGGAATTAGATGCCATATTCCTTTGGATGAGAGGAGGCGAATTCCCTCGCTTGTTTACTTTACCCATAACATATAGTGGGTGGGTGCTAAAACAAACAGAGAATTCCAGCAGCTTTTATTTGATAATGTTTTGGGCAGCAGTTTCCTTCGATAAGGTGTCTAATACAGTCCAGAAGAGGTTTTTGCTTGCTGATGTTGAGGAACAACTTGTGTTGTTCACAAGTGTGTTGCCATTTTTCTTTGGGCCAGCAGCGTGTGAACAGGATCGTGGCAGGCACTTTGTCAGAGAGGAAGCTGTTGGGTTGTGGACCTGCATTTCTTGTTTGATATTTTGTTAGCAGGACACCTTCTAGGTGTTTAGAGCCTGTTGATAGACCTTTGAAACAGATGGATTATACATGGCCACGCACTGATTACGAGTCCTCCATAATCTCATGCCGGTGTGGGCTGGAGTCACCTGGCTGGGGCAGTGCTCGAGTGCTCTCCCTTTCTGAAATGGGTGAGGGCAGGTCGGCGGAGGCTGGTCTGCATTTTTCCTCGTGAGCTACTTGGCTGAGGTTACCAGAACGGCTGTTCAGGCTGAACAAGCTGTGGTTGTTTAAATAAGACTCCGAGTACTCGTACTGGAGCACAGAATAATAGCTTTGCAGTTGCCAGTTGTGAAATCCAGGGGGAAGGTCATGGGAGGAGGGGGAGGTTTAGGGGGGAAAAAAGCTGTTTTACTGTAAATAGTTGTGGAAGGTCTCTGTAAGCAGCATAACCTGTTTCCTCTCACTGCTGTTCATGTGGGTACAGGATGAGACGCTCTTTTCCCCTCTGCCCCTCTGTTTGCAGTCAGGTATCGGTGTATATAAAGGGGGCAAGCGCAGCCCCCCTGGAAGCTGCTGCTGGCAGGATCTGGTTGCAGTGTGGGGTAAATGAGGGGCTATTGTGAGAACTGCTGTTACTGTAAGGTAAGTAACAGTTCTTTCTTTCCAGGAGACCTAATCCTTTTTTCAGAAAGGATACCCTGATGGTAATCAAATGCTTCTAAGGACATAAATTCAAAAAATAATTCTTTCCAGAACATTTAAAAATAACACAGAAGAAAAATGTGTCGGTTCTCATTTGGTAAAAGTACGTTAAATTAAAATGAAGTTAAAGCTTTTCTGGAGCCACTGTAAATGAAGGTACATGCCAGTAGTTATGGAACAATCGCAGATGCTAATGAAATTGAGTCTGTTCCGGCATAAAATATTTATAGCAGCTTAGCGAGCTGGAGTTCAGTGTGTCAAGCCAAAGGGGGAATTTCTTGTTGAGAAGAAGCATCGCTTGCTACATCAGGATCTATAGTGCCTTGTTACAAGTTGGCATATAGGCTGTCCATCTACTCACAAAGTAATGGGAAATCTCCCTGCACTCCCCAAATCTTCTTTATATAGCAGCGGTTCTTGCTAGGATGCCTTTAATTAGGGTTAATGTCTCCATGTCCTCACTGTTTGGCTCTCATAATAGCTCTGAAAGTGTTTTCAGATGTAAATAGCTGCATAAACTATTATTCCAGTTAAACAACTGAAGAAAACACTCAGAAGACATGCCTTGTTGGTGTATCACTTGTGAAGCTGGTGATGGCGACTGGACTGACCAACCTTGCTCTGATTAAATCTAAATTCTACTTTAACATTAGAAAGGACAGTTCTTGTACCCCTGAGGAGCCTAATGGGGTCTGTACAAACCCCATAACCCTGATAAAACTCCTTGCTTGTATCAAACCGCTGATGGGTTTTTCTACTTGCTCTCTGCCAAAGATGGAGCATTAATGTGCAAGCTCCAGAGCTCAGTCTCTGCAGTGGGGTCGGAGGGGTGAGAGCTCTGCGAGAGCTGGAGAAGAAGCCACAGGTGACGTGGTTTGGAGCAAGGAGGGGACAGGACACCCTGTCTCCAGGGCTGACAGGCAGAGGGGTGTGCAGGGCACTGCCCTGCCTTCCCGCAGGCCTGGGCCCCCTCCTGCAGCCTGTGAAAGCTGGAAAAGTGGGGCATGCATTTAAAAAGTTTATATAAATACATAAAATGCCTAGGGCAAAATCAGCTGTGTAAAAGGTTTTGATCATTTTCAGCTTCCTGGAAATTCCCTCCTATCGTGCCCCTTGGAGGCAAACTTCTGACAAACCGGACAGTTTTTTTCTTTTTTTAAAAAGAATCTTAATTAAAAAGTCCCCCTCTCTCTTCCAAATTGTGCTGGCCACAGAGCTCACCGCAGCAGCGCTTTTGGGGAAACTGCCAGTGCCCTGTGTGCTCCTTACAGCATCCCTGCAGCTGGGGGGACGGGCGCTCTCCCAGGGCCCTTTGTGGGACAGATGCTCGCTTTATAAATACAGCGAAGCATCTTAGGGTGAAAAATCATCATTCAGGAAACAACTCAAGAAAGGGAAAAGGTCTCTGTTAACGGGCAACCGGCTTACCTCTTCTGCAAGGCACAGAATCTCTGCTTAGCGATCGTGGTGTGGGTGAAGGCTGACAACAGCAAGGGGAGCTCACCATCACGTGTCTAATTAGCGGCAGGGAGCTGACGTTGCTACTGTGCTCTGCTCGGCTCTGGGAGCACTCCCTGCTCTGTGTGCGTGTCTGGGCTCAGCTGGGGGCTCTGGTTTACATGGGCAAAGTGTTTTAAACGAAGGCACAAGCTCATCGTATGGCTGTGGCAGGGAAGAGGCTGGTGCCGGTGGGGTGGACCTGGGGACACGATGGCAAGGCACAATGCCCTGGTGCACTGCACGTCTCAGGCGTGATGGTGGGACATCCCTTCTCCCCCCACCAAGGGGAGCACCAGCATGATCTCCTGCTGGCACAGGTCCTTCCTGGCTTCCCAGCTGGAAGCGCCTGATCCCAGATTTGACTACAGAGGAAAATTAGGAAGGAAATAAGAAGATGGGGAGCGTTTGATACATCTTTGAATTGCAAAATACCTTCTTCCTCGGAAAGCTTTTCTCCTAGTCTTGTAAGTTTGGCTCTCAGCTCCGAAACAGTGATAATGCCTCTCTTCTGCCTGTCTATCATGGACAAGGCCGTGAGGATTTCACTCTCGGGTTCCTCTTGCTTCATTTGCCTGTACATTATATTCAGGAAAGTGGAGAAATCCAGCTCTGCGTTTCTGTCTGGAAAAATAAGAGCAGATTCTTTAGAAATGGCTCAGTTTTGTAGTCTGGATCCAGACCTAAGCATCCTGCTCTGCTCCCCCCGAGTTCCCCTTCCTGGGGCACCTTTTCCTTTTTGCCTGACTCTGGTCTGGACCAGGGTGGACCACTGCTGGGGGCTTTCTCCTGGCCTGAAGACCCATTTATAGCTTTGCTAGACTTGTGCTCTGAAACCTTGTATCCAGAATTTTTAATCCAGCCCACTTTATCTCGTGATTCTTCTTTGGTCTGTGCTGTGCTTTGAATTTATTCATACATATCTGCAGATTAATATCTTTCTGTGCTCTTCTACCTCTGCTGGTTGGACTGGATGGTTTCCCAGCCTCAAAATCAGTAATCGGTATGTATGCCTCCCACTGCTATTGAAGCTTTTCTTTTTTAATGGCACTATTTTAATCTATGTGCTGGATTGACTTTGTTCGCTATCTAGCACATCAGACCAGGTTTTGGTGACTGCTCCTGGTTATGCTGCATTGCCTGGGCTGTTTCACCTGAGAGTGAGTATTACTTACTGGGCTCCAGGCAGCCTCCTTGTCTTTGCATGTAGTCTCCTGACCACAGAAAAGCTGAATTTCTCCAACCATAATCCAGTGTGTTTTATTCACGTGCTACCGCTGCACTTTGCTTACCGATCTTGTGCAAGTGCAGGTGTCTCTGCACCTCTCCTGGTGTCGGGCTGGCTCCCAGGCACCGCATCACTGTCATCAGGTCGGAGGCTTTTATCTTGCCTTTTTGTTTCTTGTCGTACAGGGAAAAACATTCCTTGAACTCTAATTAAAAACCAAAACTCTGTTATGCCATGTAAGATTACATTGATCTACCAGTGATGTTTCTTCTCCCGTTGCCCGGTTGGGCGGTGTTGGTAGGGTTCCAGCAGGGATATTGTGTCTGGTTCGGGGTGTCTCGTTTCAAGGAAAGATGATGGACAGTGGGGGAGGACCTGGGGTAAAGTGCCAAGGGCAATTAAAGTCCAGGCTTGTGAATAGTTGAGCTAATTGGGGTCCTTCAGCCTAATTAAACAAGTCTGAAATTGGAGTCAGGCTTCCAAATACGTAGAATACTGTTAAAAAGTACTTTTCTCTGCCTTCATGGGTGGTAGGAGAGGATGCTAAAGGAATGAGCCTTAAGGAGCGATGGAGGATGCTGGTTTGGTCCCTGCCATGGTCTGTGCAGGGTCTGGCACTTGCCCCTGCCTCGGCCTGCCAGCGGCTGGATTTTAATAAAAGACAAAAGAACCGATAATGTCACATTTGACAGTCCGAGTGCTGCCAGCTGCCTGAGTCTAGCAGAGGAGAGCCTCTGCCTGTCCTGCTGCCATCCACTGCAGCGTCTCCCCTCCCTCGCTTCTCCCCGCAGTCCTCACCTGCCTGCTTGCCCTCTACCCTTCCCCCTCAAACACTGGCTTCGCAGTTTTCAAATAAATAAATAAGGGTTGCAGCTGACCTAGATAAGGCTGCCATCTCTCATCCTCCCTTCCCATTCTGCTCCCAGCGCAGTGGCAGGCTCCGCTCTTTGTCACACTCAACGCTAATGGGCAAGTTGTGCTGCATAGGGACAGTCCTGTCTGCAGAGCAGCCAGGGAAATAAAAATCAGCCTATTTTGGTGTGATCACCCTCCACCCCCCCTCCTCATCCTCTCTGTCCCTAGACCTTATTGCAGGCGTAAGTGCAGGGTGCCCCCATGGGTGCTGTGGCCTCCCCCTCCCCTGGCCGCCTCCTCCCCTGCAGCAGTCCTGCAGAGCTGCTGAGCCCAAGGGCACTGCAGATCAACAGATTTCCAATAATACTCTTATTTCAGCTTTCTTCTGCCATTCTTGTAGCAAACGCTTCCTTGTTCCCATCTGAGGCAGGGGTCCCCTTTACCAGGGAGAGCCCCGGTGCCTCACAACGAGGATTTGTACCTCCTGCACCTTCTCCTTCTTCCTCTTCCTCCTTCACCTTCGCTCCCATCATACACGAAGCTTTGCCAGGCTCCAGTACTGCAAATTGTCACCTGAAATTTCTCCTGGTCCCTGCTAGCTCAGCCAGGGCTGTGTTTACGGGGCTGGGCAGTCGCTGGTTAACTGCCAGTCTTGGTGTGATCCAGTGTGTGGCTCTGCAGGTGGTTTTGGCTCCCTGCCGGTGCCTAGTGCTGTTTTAACGAAATCAGGGAGGTTTCTCTGCTTTCAGAGGGAGCAGATCCCCTTGAGAGCTGGGAGGAGGGCAAGTGGGGGAGCACAAGCCCAGACTGAGACCCTTTTGGGGGAAATGCTATTAGCTATAAATTTGTTAAGCTGATCTTGCTAATAATAAAAAAAACCAAAACAAAACTGTACATACCGTTAATTTGATCCTGAGACAGAAATTTTGCCTGTAGCATGAAGCGGGGAAGGAGAGAGAGACAAGAAAAATAATAAAGCAGCTTTAAAATCTGGATGGGGGGAGCAGGGGGAGCAGTTTGTATCAGCCGAAACGCTTCACTCACCATTATTTTGGGGGTCCTCCTTGTGCTTTACGCTGGCTGTCAGGATCAGAGGTGTCTGCTGCTACTTTTTCTATTCGATTAAGGGCTAAAGTCCGCCAGCCCAGGGTGGAGTGCGGCCGGGCTGTAATAAATACCCCGCTGCTATGGCTACGAGACCTGATCCCTGCCAGGGCTGGATCCTGCTGCCAGCACAGCTCCTGTTCACGCGCTGTGGGCAGAAGGGCTCTCCCCAGCCTGCCTGAAGCCTTGGGACTCCGGACGGGACCCCAAGCAGCGATGCTGTCAGGAGGAGTGGGGGGAGAGCTTCCCTTGGTTGGGGTTTAAGGATGTTTGGGGTCGGACTGGATGGAGATGATCTGCTTGAGCACAAAAGGTTTGATAATCTCAAATAGCTGCACACCTCGCACCAAGCTTAGCTGCTGGGAAACAAATCCAGCCTTGATATCTACTGAGGCCGCTGGGGAAGGGTGTTGGGAGGATTTACAGCTTTGCAGTTCACTACTGGAGGGGCTTTGCTGGTGGGCAGGAGGAGTTAATTCGGGCTTTGCGTGTCCTGGCTGAGCTCGGTGCAGGGCGTTGGGCGTTGCTGGCAACGTCGCTGTGCCCTGCTCGGTGGGTTTGCAGGGGAAGGGGGGTTTAGATGTGCCCGCTGCAAACATGGAGGAGCTGGGACATTGCAGACAGGCTGAGAGGAGAAGGCATTTTTGAGATGGTTTAAAAAGCTCCCCATTGCCTGAGTTTTTACTTACTAGCATTTATTTAGCTAATCTGCTTGGGAGCAAACAGCCTCCAGGACTGCCAGGTCTTGTTGCAGCCCTCGGCAGGAACTCAGAAGAGTGATGCCGAGGAAATGATGCTGAGGGAGCAAGTATTAATACATGCATCTACAATTTTGTCCCATCCTGTCCCCTACAAAAAGAGCTGAGCCAGCAGCTCAGCTGGGCGCTCCTGGCTGCGGGACAGGTGATGCTCTGCCTCTCCGGATCCTGCCGGTGCTTGAAGTATCCCAAAAAGAAACTCAGTGACTGTGCAGGCAGGGCTAGCACATGTGCGGGGGGATGAAGTACCTGATGCCAGGCTGTGGTGGAGATCCAGACCCAAGAACAAAATATTTAGTGGCCATAGTGACCACTATAGCATGGACTGGACCCTTCCCAGGGTAGACCCTGCTCTGTTACAGTGACACATTCAGGGTCCTTAAATCTCGTGGTTTAAAGATTCTCCCTTCAAAGAACAGAGCTGCTTCAGGAAGCAACGTGAGTCGTTCAGCTTTTATCAAGTGTTTTTATTCAGTATGTTTCACTAATAGCTTTTTTCTTCTACCACTGGGATTCTGTCACACAGGACTCTAATACGAATTTTGTAGACATAAACCATCACAGGGATGCAGCTGGAGTTGCAGGAGCTCAGCTCCATCACCTGAAGCTGGAGAAGTGGTGAGCGGGAGCAGAAGCCACCGGTGGTGCAGACCCCACACGAGTGGTGCCGAGGCTGGAGCTCACCCCCCCGATGCTTTTTTCAGGCTGCGTTCATGGGGAATTGGCCCTTCTGCCTCTTCCGCTAGCCAGGCCCTTCTTGCATCGTGCCTGCACTCAGCAGCAAGGGCTTAAACCCAGTGCTGATGGCCGCGACCCTGGGAGGGCTCCCCGGGGAGGCATGGCCGAGCAGAGCCATCGAGCAGATAAAGGTAGGGCGTGTTTAATCAGCTGGGAGCAGCGTGGGAGGAGTGGATACATCTCTCTGTGCCAAGACACAGGGCGGGTGAGAGTGCTTTGACTTCTTGGCAAACCACTCCCGTTAAAGGCTGGGATGCTCTCTGGGGCGGTGATGGTGGTATGTGGATTCACCAGCGGCGGGGACCACTGTGGGGCTGCGATGCTGCGCCCCTGCTCCGATACAGGAGGGAGTTGGTGCTGTCTCGTAAGCACCCGAAAAAGTCCAGTGTGGAACTGCGTTGTGCAATTGCGAGGGCTGGCCGGTGCAAAGCCAGGGGAGACACCCCTGCCACGACCCTGGCTTTAAAGTGTTAAGTCACAAAGACTATGTTTCCCTTTTGTTCGAACACCCCCTCCCTAGCTAGGTCTAGTTAACATACGATGTCTTCCAGCTAATATTGGTCAGGAATTTATTTGAAATACATCTACATTAGAAAAACTAGATTCCCCCCCCCCCTTCAAATTACTCTAAAATATCAAAACCTATAAACTTTCTTTTGCTGCATGGAGGTTGTTCACGTGCAGGGTGTAAAATGCCCACGGCTCGGGGATATAGATCACACCAGGGTACTTCTTCCTGAGAATTTTGTCATCCCACAGCCAAACCACCCAAACAGCAATGAGGACCAGCGTTATGATGAAGGAGTAGAAGAGAAAAAGCCCATTGCTGTCCAGGACCAGTCCTTTGCGTTTCTGGTGCATCACTAAAGCCATCATGGCAAAGAAAGTGAAAATGTAGAGGATGAAAATCTGACCCTCCGTCACGAGATACCTACAAAGCAAAAACACCCGTTAGTGCCCCCCGGGAGAAAGCACTGAGCGACAGCAGCCCCCAGCGCTTCCAGCTTTACCTGGGGTGAATGTCTCCCCCTTCTCCTGCTCTACATCCAGACAAACGAAGTTGTGCTGCTTTCTACTGCCAGCTTTTAAGCTGTGATTTGTTTTCATGTTTCTTATCAGTAATTTAACAACTGAGCTATAGGCTTCATTAAGAGAACGGGTAAAGAAATGTGTGCCCAGTATGGGATTTGAAAGGTGCTGGGCTCGGTTTGTGAATGGGATGCTTAAAGGCAGAACCAAAGCCAGACTCTGGCTCCCACCTGTGGATGTTGTGCTCATTTACTCCAAAAATCCGCTGTGCTGGGTCTGGCAGTGGCCAGTCCTGAACGGGTGTTAGCCGGGGGAAGGAGAAATTACACTCCCTGGTTCTTAAATCGCTAGCACATGAACTGCAGAGATTCACACTGATATATTTAAAGGAAGTGCAATGGGGTAACTGGGAACTGACCAAATCTTCCTGATGATTTTGACTATCAAAAATTAATTTACTGTATAAAAACAGTCTCAGCAGGGGGCAAAGCCACGGGCAAGAGAACATCATCTCTGAAGATGAATGAAAAGTTGTTTGGCTGCCATCAGGGAAACCATTTGGGAAGATGAGGCTAATGAAAATGGGAAATAAATAAGATCTCTCTCAAAAGGCTATTTGGACCCACAGGGCAAGCTGAGGAGGCAGCATCTGAGCATCACAAAGGCAGCCTGGATGTGTAAAATCCCTGGAAAACTGGTGAGAGCCAGTTGTTGCCACCAACACCCTGAGAGCAGGCGGATGTGCTGCAGGCACCGGGTGACCATCCCAAAATCGTTGAGGAACTGTCTAACAGCGCAGTGAACGGCAGCCTTTGAAGGGGGGCAGACAGCAAGTACCACGGAGGCTGGAAGCTGGACCTCCAGCAATAACGGTATGACTGACAGTGTGGCTGAAGAAACACCCCAAGCAGGGGCAGGAGTGCTGATGAGTGACCCTGAAGTTGTCCCAACTTGCAAAGGCTAAAGCGGCTGCAAATTTCAACCAGATTTGATTTGATTTTCCAGACCTGCAGAGCAGAAGCTGCAAGTTCTGCCCTGGGGAATGGAGAGCTGCTGCCTGCGGTACTCCCTAGGGTTGCCTGTGATACTCCCTCTTCGTCCCTCGCCCACCCAGAGCAGACAGAAGCCACTTACCAGTAATAAAGGCTACTGGGCCCCATCAGAAGCAAGGCAGGCACTGGCATCCTGCTCTCCTCTTCAACAGGTGTGAAGCAGCCGGTGAAATATATAAACAGTATCAGGAAAAAAGGGATGTACCTGCAAACAGAAACAACACGCTGATCGGTGGTGTGACCTTGGAAAGTGTTTAAACCCCCACCAAATCCAAACCATGCACCTAGGCCATTCCTATGCTGAGCCCGTGAATTAATTTGGTGAAAGAGCAGAAGCGGAGGCCACCCAGCCTGCTCCAGCCACACGTACTCGGGCAGGTGAAGCAGTGGGTAACTGGGACGCAGAGTCCCACTCCGTGGGGTCCCGCGGTGCTAGTCAGGGCATCGCCTCTCTGCCAGCGTCACAGCTCTTGCTACGAGATTACCGCTGCGTCCATATGGCAGACGAAGGGCTGGCGGTGCCTGGTGCAGGGCTATTGTATGTCCTGGCTGCACCGAGTGCTCCTGCAGATAATGAGACTTCTGGGGCTCTCGCAGGAAAAGCCCAAGTTCGCTGATTAGGTCAAACACTGGGCTCAAGTGCTTCGTCAAACAATTGCATTTGTTACACTCCCAGACTCTTAAGAGGCTGTTTAAGAGCGTTGTGTTGTGTTCAAAGCTGAACTGCAGGAAAGCAGGACGTGGACCAGGATTTCAACAACCTAACAGAGCCCTTTTTTATTTAAAAGAATAGGATTTGCTCGCTTCAGAGCGCTCAAGGAACAGCAAATAAACTGGGAAAGCCTGATGGGGGAGAGATTTCCCTCCACGCTCAGAGAGGTCTCAGGATTATCTGGCAGCGGATAAAGGGCCAGACAGTCCTTTCTGGGGTTGTTGGTGCAGGCAGAGCAGCAGGACACGTCTGCAGCACTGGGTGCTGCTCACGTGTGTGCGAGGGTGCAGATGAGACCTGCCGCAGCCTGCGGGCACTACCAACATTACCTGCCCCTGGGTCAGCAAGTGCAGCCATGCTGGATGAAGCACACTCTCCAGCTGGAACAAGCGTTTCTAGGGTCAGCTTGGGGTGATAGCGCTGAAAGCAGACCCTAACAGAGCTCCCTGGACCACCATGGCCAAACGTCTCTGTTACTGGGCGGCACTGGTGTGGCTACGCAAGCAATGCTTCCCTCTCACCAGGGGGTCATTAAACAGGTGCACA